GGGGAAAAGGGGGATATATGTAGTACTTTGAACAATAAAGATGAATTTAAAAAATCAATATATTTAATTTATATATTCTATTATAAGAATTATGTAAAAACAGACACATATGCATATAATTCACAGATGAAAATATTAAAATTTTAGATAGGTTTTCTCTACCTTCCTCAGATCATCTACAATGTTTTATATTCCATTTTAATACAAGTTAAAAATTAAAATGGTACATTTTTTTTCAATAAAGCCCCTGAATGGTTTGCAAACATTCTAAAGGCTATACATTTTCAAATTTGAGTATATTAGAGATTATTAAATAATTTGAAAAAGATGTCCTTTTTGCTTCCAGCTAACAGAAGATATAATAGAAAGTCAAGGAAACATCCCCAAACTGTCCTGTACTCCATGTAATGAAAATAAGAAATAATTATAAGAAAAAAATATTTAGATAGTATTTTGTCATGAAGAACTAATTTGAATATTTAAATATTTTATTCTTATCAATTTTTAAATGAAATTGAATAAAGCCTATGGTTCAATATTTTAAGATAGTCATCAATGGAGATAAAAAGTGTCATGGTGGAAAAAAAAAGTGGCATGGTGATTAAAACAAAGGCAGCTAATATTCTTATTCATAAAATAATTATATTGGAGGTGTGACATTTAATTAATTAAGTATAGGCAATCTAAATTATATTAAAAGTGAAGAAAGCTTTAAGGAAATCAAACTAGATCCTAATTCTGGTACAAAATTCTCATCCTTTAAGGAGAGAAATCTTCCTAATGTTCACATATGAAAAAGTTAAGGATTCACTAAAAATGTAAACGACTAGTTTTTGTTTGACTTTCCCAGGTTCCTTATCCAACTATTCTAGATGTTGACTTTACTGTGTTGTTTTCCTTACGTATGAAGCCTCTCTTTCTTTGGGGCAAGTACTATAAAATAATGTAATCTAGAAAGCATAGGAGGATGCTTGGCCTACAAAGGTGCCCAATAAACAATTTTTTAAATAAAAAGAACATGATGTTTAGATTAATTAAAGGAAATATGACCTAAAGAAGATCAAATAAGAAATTTTGTTGAACTCAAAATTTCTTTTTCTCTCTAGCCTGGTGCCA